AGACAAATGAGCAGATTAGCTCAGACTGTCCTGAAACACAATAGCACTCAAATTATATCTCTTGAAGTGGCACGAGTGGGTCATGTATACTTAACACCCTCCGCCACAAAGTGGGTAAGTAATTATACATTTTAAGGTAGATTATCTTACATTTATAAAATATAAAATTTCACTCAGTGCTCTTCGGAAAACCTGGGCTAAGAGGAAACACATAGGTTTGAGAACTTATATACCAGCTTCTTAAGAGGGAAGTGCGCTTGACTGCAGCAAAGACGTGTGTGATTTTTGTTATGTTTTGATGGAGATCTACCATGATCAAGAAAACCAGCAGATCGAGGCTCAGCCGAACTGCTGCTTTCCCACGGTGCTTCCGCGTGCATTGGGAGAAGCAGAAGTTCCAGGAGTTCATGTAGATATTTATGCACATGTTTTATAAAAGTTTTGAGTTTTTATATGGCATCAATTATTTACTTAGCTATTTCAAACTTGTCTCTCACAAGATTATCATTAATCATCGCACTTTGACGTTCTTCACAAGTTACATCACCACTTGGGCAAAGACAGCATCTGCTTTCATGCAGTCCTGTATGTGTTGGCAACATTTCTTGCCAGCTACATATAGGCTGTTACAAATTTGGGCTGAGGCACCCAATATTACAAGCACTCAAAACACATGTGTTGCGAAACAATTGCTAGAAATATAGGTCAGGCAGGAGAATGTGATATGTGTGAAACATTGAACGGTATGTGAGCTGTGTACGTTCAGGTCCTGTAGCAGCTGCAATTCTTTCTTGTGTTTTTTTTTTTTCTGACATTTTATATTTGACATTGTATTACTTCTGTAGTTTATAAAGTTAATGATTGCCAAAAAACAAATCGGAGGCAGCACCCTGAGGCCCGTGACCTAAAAATTCACTGCTAGGAAGATAGAGCAGAATGCTCTTCGATACTAAGGCAATGAAATGTATTTGTGTGATATGGCAGAATATAATACATATTTCCTTCATATGGCTAAGCTGAAAACTTCAGTTGTATTTAATACCTTTGGGACAGCAGCTTCAACCTCTGTGCAGTCGAGGATGATTCTGCAGTTGGTGAAGCTGGCAAAACATGACGGGAGACAGGCCTTGTTCACCGAAGGAATCTGGCCCATCAGCCCATCGCAAAGCACCTTGTGTAATATGTTGACCCATGTGAGCACCACATTTGAGACTGTGGCAGTGCTGCAGCTGAATCGAACAGCAAGGTCAAGGTGGGTGGTGTTCGAGCGCAGCTTGACGAGAGTCATGAATAGCTGGTCAGCCAGCTCAATGGACTGCACCTGCCATCCCGCATGGTAGCTTATGGTGAACCTCTGGCACAGCTCTAGCAAGAGATAAAACATATCTTTGTGTGGCAGCCCCGTGTAGAGAACGACCAGGTTGGTTTTCTCCTCAATTGAACTGAAGGTGAACCGTCTTTGGTGTTCTTTCCCGGAAGCCTCTTCCTCCTGTAATATAATTTAGTGAACCTAATATATATGATATATCATAGCAAAATATGTACTCAAATTACAGTATGTACGACTTGTAACCCCCCTCTGACCTGAATGGAACGAAAAATGTGTGCTATAACTGATGCTGTCAAATTGTAAGCTCGCTTCTCAGTTTATGTATACTTTAAATGCAGAGTTGCATGCTATAATAATATTCTGTGAATGTAGTAGTGCTGACAGTAAATTATGATCGCTGATGATTAGTTTAGTCTATTTTGTGCCCAATATACATGGGTTTCCCTTAAAATCTGCGGAGGAACCTTGACAAGTCATAATCAGCATACAAACCGGAGAAAAGAAAATATTTATCTTAATTTGGCAACTGACTCAAGTTTGAAGTGCATCAAAAGTTAAGATCAGAGCAAACCCTTCTTTGAAGTTTTTCCCAGTTAAGTCTCTTATTTCTAGTTCTCAATCATTGTTCGCTATACTATATAATCTGCCGTGTTGAAGCAGCTGGTGATATTTGAAGTAATACTAGTAAGATATATTGTGCAAAGGGGGCTGAATCAATCAACCCCACCCCTGTCACCCCCCCCCCTCCACCCCCTCCCCGCACAACTCCTGATGCCACTGTCTTGGATGTGAAAATATGTGCATGTAGGCATGCTAACTTAAACCTTCAGATGAAAAATCATGGTTATGATTCATATGTTAAAGAGGCATGTTTGATGTGACATCTTTTCAATTAAAGAACATATTAAAAGCACACATACTCTCTGCAGGAAGTAATTCTCCGCTTCTAGTACAGCTCTTGACGTGGTAGGTTTGTGTGCCTGCTGTGGTGTGTGGGGTTCTGTTCGCTTCCTGCAAATCACAATGTGTGCAAAGCATACACAAAGGTTATATGCTACATCAAACAATATTTGTTAAATATAAAGAGATAGAAAAAATTAATTGTGTGTTATTAACCTTATAATGAAATATAACGCATATTCAGGTCCTCACCTCCGTCCACATTGGGTTTCTGGAAATTGGAAACGAGTTTCCTTATTCCAAGGGAAAATGGTTGGCATTTTGCTTTTTTTTCCATCCTTGAAATGGCAACTGCAAATGCGTGCTTGTTGCCCCGGCTCGCTGTCTGCTCTCCTAAAAAAATAATAATAGTCAATCAACGTTTTATTGTACCCATGAACAACCTTGCAGTTGTTCCTCAATAAAATAATAATAATAATATATAGTTAAATAAAACACTCAATTAAAAGTATATATAAACAAAGGTGAACAAGGAGAACGCTATCCACCAGTCTTGTACTAAATATGCTAAATTCAAGAGCTAGTCCGTAAAGGGGAACATATGAAGAGCACAATGAAAAAACAACAGCAAAGGTAGATATATAAGCATAAACAAAATAACCGGATAGCGCATGGACACAGACATACTTCTTAACGCTGTTTTACCATAGCAATGTAAGACTACTGCAGGTTTCAGCTGGATTTTACTCTCACTACTACTTGCATGCAACTACTTTATCAATGTTATAGTAATAATATATAAATATAGCGCCATATTTTAAGACATTATGACCGAACAGAATACGGGTTTTACGTGCTCTCGGTTGGTTCGGTCCTTTTTTTTTACACCAAGGCGACTGTCCGCCAGTGCTACATGTACTCACCTTATGTTTTTTATCCGGTACTTTCGCGTTTTGGGGTCTTGCGGAAATCTAAAGAAACTACAAGAATCTTTCTCCACGCGATGGTTACAACCAGGTACGAAGCACCCTCCCATAGCGCGAGTCCTCAAACAAAATTTGGGAAGTCAACCGATCGCCTGAAGTGCTTTTCTCACGGGTGCAAATGTGATCTTTGAGCAGACGATCATCTCGATCGACGCCAGGACTTTCGAAAAACCATATTTTGCATCTTATCCCACTATGAATTCTTGTAAGTGTCTGAAACTCATTATATTTCAAACAAATGCAATATCAGAATATCGTCTTTATTCACGCGATTCAAACGACTGCGCCGGCTTCGCCGGCCGGCGTGTGGCAGACGGCATACTTCTTGCATTCGTCGTCTGCTGCAGGCATCTTAAGGACCGGAAGTTGCAGTCGTAAATATTTCAGAAAGTAGCGATTACCGGCACACTTCTGTCGAAACATATATGACATTCAAGCTTTGTATATATGTGATTTTTAGAAGTTTGAATCCTACTCCTGATTTTTGAACGCTCAAGTTTTCGCAGCGAAACTGAGCCACATGTATTTGTCCATAACAACGACCCTAGCAACGATTTGTTTGGACCCATGACGTCACACTTACGGAGTCAATTTGATATACGAAGACACATTAACTTAAGCTCCAGTTTCCGTGCATCTCTACTAATGCTGGAAAAAATATAGGAAGATACAATGTGTGATAGCAGTATACCGTAAAATTCCGAGAGATGCCCCACCCCCGAAAAATAGCCCTCCCCCTACTTTTGGCTTGATTTCCTATGTTTTATTAAACACCGTGAGATAGCCCAGTCTAGTACAAGTAGTGTTGGGATCAATGATGGCCTCAGCATAAATGCGGCTGGTTAGCTTTGGCGAGGTATAAGCGAACGTTGCTGACTGGGAAGTACAGTCATTTTTGCTTTGTTGTCCCTCCCACCATAAGAAAGCTTGGAAGGGACACAACCTAAATATAGCAATTTTTTCAAACTTTTCTCGATCGTACTCCGAAAGTTGGCCCACTCCTATATTTTCACCCGCTCTCAATGTTAGGTGGGCTATCTCGGAATTTACGGTAGTTATCTCATTTTATTTTCGGCATGTCCTAACCCCTTAAAGAAATGTGTTTAGGAGACATTTTTTAATAAAAAATGAGAAACATTATATTTGGGTTTTATTAACTTCAGATGCACGGTTTCAGCAAGTTTCATTTATAATCATGTAGGATTTATTTCCCCAAAAGTTTTTACCATGCCAGTGGCTTGCTGAGCAAGCAGGCCATGAAGTTTTACTTTTTCTAGCTGGGACTACCCTGTGCATGCTCAACAGAGCTAAAACATGTTAACCCTCGTTAGAAGTGGCATTTATTCTAGTCTTCACCTCGGGAAGCTTTCCACAATCGAAGAGTGTCAGCGTCCGAGGAAAACTGATACATCCAAACAGGAAAAATGTGGCAAACATGATTTTAGCGAGCTAATTGGTTGTCATCCAAAACAAGGCTTTCAGTTTACCCCGTCCAGTGACACTGTATTGCGTCATCTTCATCCGCGAGTTTTTGACAGCACCATTCACTTCAGGCCACTAAGTGTGCAACCTGCTTAGAACCTTTAATGCGAGCAACACAAATATTGGAGAATTTCTGTTCTGGTTGTAGTTGGCCAATTCATGGGCAGACATATCTGAATTGTATTTGGCCGAGGGTGTTTTGCTGTTATTACCAGACGTTCTGGTGGACGTCCAAATGCTTTTATGCGTGGCTCCGTGTGGGAGACGACGAGGGTACCTACTGAACAAGTACTGCTTTGCAGAATCCTGAACTCCACGCAGCAGACGTCTTCTTCGGCCCTGGCCTACGACGAGATTGCCAAGATCATTGACGAGGCTCAGAACATCTCGGAGGCGGCCCTTGCTACTTCGAACGAAGCCCACGACAATGTATGTTCTATTTGAATGTACTTGCATGTGCTCCTTCTCCAGAGCGCACTCCTTGTAGAACAGCTGAGACCTTTATTCTTTTACTTTCGTGTTCCAGAGGTAGGACTTTTTATGAGGCTTAACTTTGTGTAGTTCAGTATATGTGCGCTGTACTGTTCAACTATGAAAGCTATAAAATATATACCGTAATATCCCGAGTCAACGCCCCCCCCCCCCCCCCCCCCCCACCGCCTGAAATTCTCAAAAATTGTGGGGTGGGCCATGACTCGGGTACCGAGCTCGAAAAGTTTCACAAAAGTTTAAAAATGTGATTTTTTTTGGTCTGTGTATAGCGAAGCTAGACAGGAGATTAACTGAACTCAAATCTCGGGTTGGTATCTTACTTGCGACTCATTTTACTGTCGAGCAAAATCCACTGCTTCACGGGTAGCTCGTTTCCGCCTCCTCCGAGCAAGCGCAATTCGAAGCCACGACCGCTGCAGCCTTCGGTCCAACGTGAACGGAAAAAAAAAAAAAGAAGAGAATCATTGAAAAAAAGAAAAAGAAAAGAAAAATCACAAGAAGCCATTGTGACCGAGCAAAGGTGACGAAAGCTGAAAGGAAAGCGGGTCCCGCTTCCTTTTCAACTTCGGAACCAAGCAAACCGGCAGCCTTTAACCGACGCCTAAAACAAACCCAGTACAAAAGCAAAAATAAGATAACAAAAGCGAAAACCATAAAAAGGCTCTCTCCGCGGGCGCGACCGTTGCCGCGGAAAGCGCGCGCACGCACAAACTCAATGACCTTCCAGTTTGTGGGTGCGCGCGCGCGGCTCCAGGACAACTTTTTCATAAAGTGCAGTAGCCACCACGGGGCTGCACTTTGCGGCCCCACAAAGGCACTCACAGTGACTCTCTAAAATGTCGCCTTTATCGGAGAGCGTCATTTTTACTGCGTAGCTACAATTCTTAAACGACGCCTGTATATTCGCTACTAGAGTGAAGCTCTTCGCCTCAAAAGAAAGGACGTATCCTACAAGGTATTTTCCTTCGCCTTTTTCGAAGGCCGCATTCTTGTCTGTGAAAAAGCGGTGAATCTCCGACAGACGCAGGAAAGATAAAACAGCCATTGCTTTGACTAACAGACGTAAAGCAGACGATGTAAACTGCGTCAACCGCGCCAACCCGCTGAAGCCGTTAAAGGGTGAGGAGTCTCGCCGTACACGAAAAGAGGGAACTTGCGGACGGTAACCTCCCTCGTTCTCGGTTCTTAGCAAACAATCCTTGGCGCGTCAGCCATCTCGGCCGCGAGTCCTTTGGCTTCACTCCTTGATGTGTGTCTGCTAGTTGTTAGACAAGAACACATCTTACCTCTCAAGTTATTTCGTCTGCCCTCTCTGAAAGGTGAAGTCGAGCTCGCTCGTAAAGGTAAGACAGCTCTTGATTAGCAGACGACGTTGCAAAGGAGCAGACGACGTTTAGATAGTGGGTCGTGGCGACCCACTATTTTTTTATTCGAGCCAATCAGAGCTCGGCGTTCTGACGTTACTGCAACCCCTGCACAAGAAGCAGACGAACTTGCTCTCCGCATACTTCAAAGAGCAGTCGACAGGAGGCCCTGATAGTACCACGGGCCACGCAGAGATATGTTCGCACTAATGTAGATAGTTATAGTACAAGCATGGCGTCTATGTAACGCAGCATCGTGTTGGTAGTACTCAAGTGGTCTGGGGAATGCGAGATGTCCCAGGGGGCTGGAAAACCAATTGCTACACGGCATCTCGTTGTCTTTCCCGTGTAGATTATCTGGGGAGGCAGAACGGCTCCTCCCAGTGCAATGGACTTCTTCCAAAACCGACGCACCCCATTGCGGCGAAATACCACGCAGTGCACTCTGGGAACTAGTTGGCCACTCAGTTTCGGTTTCGACTGAGCAGCTCCATCTCATGCTATCACGCCGCGACCGAACGCGCTGCTTGCGTTTTCGATTATCTGACTTGTCACGAATGTACAATACACTCATTCTGGAGCGATACAAAACAAAGACCGGGGCAATTTCCTTGGTTCCCGAAACACCGGATATTGTGCGTGCGTATGTGAACGTAGTAAGTCGTGGCTTAGTCACCTCACCCCACGAGTGCATCTTTGAGCTAAATGTCAGTAATCCCGTCTAGTACCAGTGAGCTACAACTGAAATTTGTTCGTCTGGAGCCTTACACGCATTTTGTTTGCCAAACGTCCGCTTCTTGTTACTTCATTGGGCGAAAAGCAAGCCGCATCCTCACAGGATATCAAAGTTGAGGCCAGCGTTTACGCATGAACTTTTAAGGAAACGCAATAAATTCGACCTCACTACTGCACAAAAGTTACTATGATGTCTTCCTCATGACATCATGTATCTCCCACTCAAATTTTATGCTGATAGAAGATTAACTTTTCGCAAACGCTGAGATCGGCTAGCTACGACGGAGGCCCTAACAAGCGTTTCCTACTCCTCGCTAAGCCTTTTTGGACAAGCTTTTACTGACGTCCGAGATCTGTGCCGGGAACGGTGTGTCTGAAATTATCTCGGCATAGTCAGGCAGGAAGAAAGCAAACACATAACAAATATTATGGCCATTAGCAACCGTCAAATGCGCTTTGAATTCGTTCGAGCACTTGTCTGAAGAATGTCGCACCGTGCGCCGGACGGGCATGAACTCCAATGCGGACCGCATAGGGGTTCATGCCCGTCTGACGCACTTCCGGCGAACGGTGCGACATTCGTCACACAAGTGCTCGACTTTTGCATTCTTAAAACGGTCTGTATGCGCGAATGTGCTTATATGATTGCAGGATAACTTTATGCGCATACGTGATGTTGAATATTAGTGAAATGCAAGCGGGTGGGGACTTCACTTCGTGCAGTGCTGCGGGTCAGTACAGATAAGAGGTAAGTAGTGTGTTCAAATTGAGCTTTTCAATGGCACCTCCGAGTTTTACCTCGCATACTCAGGCACATTAAGAAAAACAGTAGTTGCAAAAAGAAATATTTCGTCTATGGACGCACGAAGCAAACAAACTTCCTGATCAACAACACTAATGTAAAGGCGCGAGCTCGATGTATGCATACTTATTGTTTGCTACAGCTTGTTGGTTCGTACACAAGCAAGATCCCCGAGCACCCGAGCTTCGCAGCGTCGAGACTCCCAGCACTGGCTCGTCCACATACCTCGATTGGAGCGCTAACAGGAAGGCTCAAGTACAAAAATAAAACATGCATGTGTTAAGACAAGCTATACGTCTCGGGCTTGTGCTAAAGCTTCGAGGTCTGGCCATTTAGGTTAGTTTAGAGGCCACAAATGACGCTCTCGGGACCAGAAAACAATCTCTTGTCGACGTGTCGATCGAAACCGAAACCATGCCACCCTCCTCCCTGGCCAACTAGTTCCCAGAGTGCAACGCGCGCCGTGTTGCATGCAGGGCTTTATGGAAGTAGTCTATTGCGATCAGGACAGTAATCACTCTCTTGTTGTCACGTCCAACCAAGGAGATTTGTGGAGATCCTGTGGAGATCCAGTGGCTTACCAGGCTTAGCTTCGAGCCAGTTTGGTCCCAGTTAAGTACCATGTCTTTCGGAATCTAATTTTCGCGCACCACGTCTTCAACTTTTGCTAGAAACTCGCTCTTGATGTCTTCGAAATCAGTTGGAACTTTCCTGGCTGTCCGCGTTACTTTCCTACGGACGAGGTTCACTCTTCTTATCATGGATTTTGCCCATTTTGCCGCAGCAGAATGCCTGGAGAGCGCAGCTGTGAAAGGAAAATTTCCATAAAGTAATTTACTTTATACTAACATTGCAGTGAAAAATCAAATAAATTTTTTTGCCTTTTATGTCATCCACAAAACCTTAACATCTTTTATAAAAGACATCCACAAAGTCAAAAAACAATTCCATAGTTGCACTGCCCATAAAATTCCACTTAGGTAAAACAATAAGCGAGTCTTTCCTCTTGTCCCATTAACAAACAATAGTTTTCCTAAAATGAAATTTATGCCAAAATGTGGAACGGAGAAAAATGTGTTCAAAGTAAAAAATTTCTCTCCAGATGGTGGTGGATGTAAATATGACATTTTTCAAAAATCAACTTTTTTTGCAGAAAAATTTTTTTTTTTTTTTTTTGAGTAGTGTCCCCTCTTAACAATTCCCCAACCAGTGACAATGGTGGTCGTCTGGTTAATGATGCCTCCCTTCTATCGGAGCTTTTGAATGTAATCTTGCACGTCCTGATCCAGATTCCCCAATTTCACATTTGTTTTCCCATGCTGCATGCAGTAGGACTTCAAGGGATGACTTGCTATACTTGTTTTTACGTGAATCTGCATGCAAAAATACTCTAGAAGCCGGGCGAAGACATGATAACCAGTAACAAAGTCGGCTTGACACAACGGAAATAATAATTTAGCTAAACGTTTCACCTCCCTTGTGGGAGGCATCTTCAGTAATGCAAAGAGCAAATGAGAGTTGCTTGGAAAGTTTGGCTATTTAGGCACGAGGTATTTAGATTAAAAAGTTAAAAGGCGCGAACGAACAGGACGAAAAAAGAGACACATACGACACGGACAGGCGCATTCCAGGTATTTAGGTTCTTGCATGGCTTGGGGTGTCTCGTGAGGTGGGCAGCACCCACTGGACCAAGAACCATGACACATACCTAGCTGGTGAGGCTGTCGCTGCATTGCAAGGCAGCTGAGAGTGACGAATGCCTCATGCATTAACTTAACAGAAGCAACAGAATATGAGTTATTGAATTTCGACTTACATTTCCATGAGGCGGGGCTTTGTGCTGCGTCAGGCTGCAACACTGACTGATGGTGTCTCATGCACCCTTGCACAAGGACCACTCCAAATTAAAAAAAGGTCTCTGGCATGGAACAGAGATGTCAACAGCACACCAAGTCCACAATATTATAGGTCACCTGTGCCTCTTTCAAATCATGTCAGTAAAAACATCTTAACACAAGATAAATTATTGCTTTTAA